GAAGGAAGTTATTTATTTGGAGCAAATATGTTTTTTTCCTACAAATGAGACACTTTTTTTTCTCTTTTTGGATATAATTAATTACGTATATTATTCCACTTCCAATGAAAATATTCAGGTGGATGTTTTTTATACCTCTCAATTACCTATGTGACAATTTGCCCCAGATACTGTGACAACCATCCCCGGCCCGGGGTTAAAAGTCACACTTTTTCTTTTCCATTAGAATTGTTATATTTATAAAAAAGGACAATAAAGATGCAATAGACAAAAAATGTGACTCCCAACCCCGGCCTCCCTTATGATTTTTAGCCACCCTTACGCCAACAGTCCTCGACACGATACCAAATTTTGACTTGGGTGGGAGATTCACGCTTGTATCCCGATTCTGGATTGACAAATTTATTTGTATAGCCCTGTATTTGTATACTTCGTTATTTTATACCCAACTAAGGTAGTTGTGAAAAAATATGTAATCCGCCATTTTGTAGCTGCGGTCATCTTGAATTTACAAAGATGCAGAATTCAGATCAATCTGTCAACAGGAAGGGGGTTAAGCTTCAACTACTAAATTCGACACGAACAAACAAATAGGGCAAGCTAAATAAAACCGATGCAAAACGTAAGTCTACGTCTTTACTGAGGTTTCGCACTTCATTTGCTTCTTCTTCATAGCTTAGGCACAAAATACAGTGGAAGAAGTCCTGATGTTGATAGTAGTTAGTGACAGTATATTGGTTATATATAATGAATGGCATTTGATTATAATTGTATAAATAATTCCAATCACCATACTGACTGGTGGAATAAAATTTTTTTCCTGTCNATTTATGAATGATTTCATTGATTTGGTCAACTCCCAGTTAAGTTCTTTATAAATAATAAATATGTTCAGCATCTATTATTCACGAATTTTGAATGAATCATTGAACCGAATTATTGTAAATTCAATTAGAGTTGAAATTATTCTTTAGTAAATCACCAGAGCTGTATTGAATCATAAACTGTATATATTTAGTAATGTAATTCACTTACTTTGAATGCCATGGTTTTTGCTCGATATTCAGCTGAATGATATAAAACTTTTCTCCTGCTGGAATTATTGATATGTTCATGATGAAAATATTCTGGAAGAGTTAAAAATCCTTGACTAATATAATTTACAAGCAATATTAAGTTTTCACTAAAGTTTTCATAACAAAATCATTTTAGGTAACGACTTTATACCGCTGTTTCTGAACCTTTCACTTGCAAAATCACCTCTGATACTAGCAACAATGAAATGTTCATCCATACGTATAATCTGTTTTCTGTAAGATACATCAGTTGAAGACCAAGGCTTTCATTTTCACAAAAATATAGTTTACAGAATGATGTTTCCAATATGGAATAAAAGTCATTTCTGTTCAGGAAATGAGAATTCTGCATTGAAATTTCTAGGAATTTGCACCATTCACAATCCTAAAATAAATTGTGATGAAGAACTTCATAATGGTGTAGAAATTCTAGCGGTTCACCTTTATGAGTTACTATGGAAGTTCGAAGTTTTTTCCACAATAAAAATTGTTTTATGTATCAGTAACTAATCGTATTTGATGATTTTGACTATCAAAAAAATCTCAAAAACGTACGAATATTTTCTTGGCTTCAGAATTTAAAAAACATATCCTATATGACTTGCAAATTTTCTTTCATTCGTTTTATTTCAGAACTTCTTCGACAAATGTATTCTTTAAGAGTGAAATATATGATAGACAAAATTATTAAATTGACAACTGACTGAGAGATAGCGCAACTTACGTATCAAAGTTTTGCGTTTTTACACCTCTATAAAGTTCTTTACTACAACTTTTTTTTTATAGTTTATTTAGTGAGAAAATCCTCAGAAATGTAAATAAGAACCCATGACATTTCAGTTGTGATTTTTTGTTAATAACAATTGCAATTTTTTACCTGCACCAAAATCCTTCAAAAACATCTTTCTAGAGGTGATTCCGAATCGAATGAGCTATCGCTCATATTTTTAGGGCCTTTATCTCTATTTCTCATGTTTTTGAACATGTTTTATGGAGCTCTGCGCTTAAGCATACCCTGAAGCTGCTGGATTTCATCCAGAAAAAAGCTGTCAGTCTGATTGGAGACGAAAACGAAGCTTTCTGCTTCGATAAGTTTGTTGGGTGTTGAAATGGACACCAATTTGTCTTGACACAGCCATGTTGCTGCAATCGCAAAGGCTGCGTCTCAAAAGCTCGGAAAACTGTTCCGTACCAGAAAACCGTACACACCTCAGCAACTTTTGATGCTCTATAAAGCTCAGATCAGACCTTCTTTTCATGTATGGAGCTCTGCCCCCAAAAATACCTGGATTCCATCCAGAAAAGAGCCATCCTGATTGGAGACGCGAACATCACTTGCAATCTTGATAGTCTGGAATATTGGATAAAGGTCGAGGATTTTTATCTTTTTTATAGATACTTTCACGGGAAGTGTTCAAGTGACTTGACACATTTGATTTAACCAAAACGGTAATTATCAGAAATACGCGACGAAATGTGGCTTCTCTTCGTTTTGAGGTTCACCTTAGTACACCTCGAACTCTACTGTTCCAGAACTCTTTTATTTAGAGAACTGCGTTTATGTGAAATAAACTTCCTGAGAACGTTTTCCCAAATGGATGTAATCGCCAACGATCCAAATCCAATGTGAATCAATACTTCCGCCCAGGCACCACCCTTGAAGCGCCTTAAGGATTTTTCTGTAGTGCTTGTGTTTTGTCCTTGCAAAAATCCTTTTGACAATATGAGAAAAAAGGCGAGTTCTATTTGGACTGTTTACAGAAATGGTAGCTTCTCTGGAAGTAGTGTGTAGAGTTAAGAGGAGACTATGTTGAAAAATAAAAAAAATCTGAAGAAATATTTTGTATCTTTGTTAGGTTGGAAACTTTCCAATTTATTATTATCAGTGGAATTAAATAACAGTTCTGTATTAAATAATTTTTCCTCATTTGAATGTTGTTTTCTGGTCATGTGTGAAAGTTTTATAGGAAATTTGGTCTCAATTTTTAGAAATATATAATTCTATTTCTTGTACTTGACGATATATCCCCAAATGAGGTTTGGATTTCTGTAGGGCAATGAAACAATCATTCAAAAATCAGTTCTTTTCATATATTTCTTATGTATTCTCATATCGTATAAATACATTATTTACAAACTCCACAAAACAGATCACATTCTGAATCACCAAACATTATGTGCAACTACTGGTCCATGAGCAGCGTATCCATGAGCAAGAGCTGGAGCAGCAATACCGTGAGCAACAAGTGGGGCGGCATAACCATGAGCAACAGCTCCATGAACAAGGGATGGGGCAGCATAGGCGTGAGCAACTGGAGCAGCGTAGGCAATAGGAGCAGCTACCTTGGCAACAACTGGAGCTACGGCTTTGATGGCAACCGCGGCAGGTTCTTTGTGGACAACAGCGTTGAAACCGTTGTGAGCATCAGCAGAGTAGTCTACAGTACGCTTGGTGCCATCAGATTCGATGAGGGAGTAGCTGCCTTGGACAACATCACCACGACGGGATTCGTGTTGGCTTTTGCTGTCTCCGGTGTGGGGGTCATTTACTCCGTACCCGAAATCGTAGTTGGCTGGGGCTGATGGTTCGGCAATGATGGCCTTAGCGATTGGAGCAGCGTAGGCGTGGACAGCTGGGGCAGCATAGGCGTGGACAGCTGGAGCAGCATATGCGTGGACAGCTGGGGAAGCGTATGCGTGGACAGCTGGAGCAGCATAAGCGTGGACAGCTGGGGCAGCATAGGCATTGATGGCTGGGTTGTGTTGCTGAACAGTGGAGTAACTGGAGACGGAGCTATGGCTACCAAGAGCAAGAGCTGGTGCTACATGACTCACACTAGCCTGTGCAATAGCTACGAAGGCAGCGAATACGATGAACTGGAAAAATAAGATAATGTAGGTAAATAAAACTTTTCTCCTGCTGGAATTATTGATATGTTCATGATGAAAATATTCGAGGAGACTTGAAACTCCTTTACTAATATAATTTACAAGCAATATTGAGTTTACACTAAAGTTTTCATAACAAAATCATTTTAGGTAAAGACTTTGTACCGCTGTTTCTGAACCTTCCACTTGCAAAATCACCTCTTATACTAGCAACAATAAAATTTTCCTCCGTACGTATAATCTGTTTTCTTGACAAAATTATTAAATTGACAACTGACTGAGAGATAGCGCAACTTACGTATCAAAGTTTTGCGTTTTTACACCTGTATAAAGTTCTTTACTACAACTTTTTTTTTATAGTTTATTTAGTGAGAAAATCCTCAGAAATGTAAATAAGAACCCATGACATTTCAGTTGTGATGTACAAAAATGGTTTTTCATCGACCTTTGTTGGGCATTTTTTACCTTCTACAATCTGAAAAATATAAAAATTAAAATGGAGAACTTTACACAAGTGGAAGGTCAAAAATACCCAAAAACGGTCGATGAAAAACTTATTTTCCACCACAAAAAATGACTTTCGTTGAATAAAAATAGTGTACATATGACTTCTTTAAACCAATAAAATGACTGAAATAATAATATGGTCGATTCTGACAGATTTCCAGATAGTGAATAAATATTTAAAGAAATGCTGTCCAATTTTCTCTTCTTACTATTCCTATACTTATATTTCATTAACAAACAGAAAACATCCGATTATGAATTTTAATAGAATAAGCATTTATGAAATAACATTCTGAAGTAATACAGTAGTGAATGTTTTTTTGGTCAATTTATGAATGATTTCATTGATTTGGTCAACTCCCAGTTAAGTTCTTTATAAATAATAAATATGTTCAGCATCTATTATTCACGAATTTTGAATGAATCATTGAACCGAATTATTGTAAATTCAATTAGAGTTGAAATTATTCTTTAGTAAATCACCAGAGCTGTATTGAATCATAAACTGTATATATTTAGTAATGTAATTCACTTACTTTGAATGCCATGTTGTAAGCTTGATTTGCAACTGAATGTTGAATTCAGAATAGATTTCAATTTATTTATATGTGTATGCTTCAATTTGAACTTGGCCCCACCCCGGAAAATGGATCCTTTCACCGTATGTAGATAAAAGCAAATGAAATTTAGTGTGCAAGGTTTTTGGAGAAAGAATAACTGATATCCTTTTCGAAACAGATAACCGGTACTGTGATCACTTCTTGGATTTTAATATCTTGTTTCCGTATTGTTTCAATGTTTGATTCAGTCCGCTTATGAATTCAATGGACTGGATAAAAATCACTTTGCGAATTTTCGCTATTCTCAATTTTGAGAATAAATGAAAATACGATATTCATTGGTTCTAAAGAAAATGAATTACCTATTACTGAATGTGAATGTATTTCCTCAAACAATTGTTTTTTTTTTCAAGACACGCAAATGAGTTCTCTGTTACATTTTGGAGCAACCTAAATTTTACTCTTTATCACTGAATTGAGAAATAAAAAAAAATTTATAGAAGAGGAAATATTTTTGGGGGAGTTTACCTAAAAATAATAATAATAACTTTCATTGATGATTCCATGCAATTACAACCAATCAAATGGCAGGATTGAATATCTCTTCCATCCAACCGTGAGAACAATAGAAAAAAATAGTAGTATACTGGTGCAATAGTATATACAATGAAATTGAAATAGAGAAGTTTTATGTTGTGGAATTAGTAAATGTGTCCTGTATCTCAAGTTAAGATAATGTACGTCAGTTCTAAAAGATATTTTTTCGAAAAGATAAGAGGGTTTTTGTTTCAAGGAGTTTTTGAAAATATTTTGTAGAATGAAATGTTCATCTGGATTCCATATTCAACCAACCCACATCCCCGGACAGTTGTAACATGTGTTTCCGTTTCATGGTACCTGTTATGAGCCTAATGCATGCATTCTGGAGCTTTTGGATTCTAAAACTGTCACTCTTCAAAATTCCCGGACCATACACCACGTCTGCGTAGTTGGCATGTGAAAGAACTGAAGCATCGCAGAGTATAATTTTACTTTCTTTATTCAAAAATGCTCTGTTGGAATATATCATTTTCAAATTTGCATAACCTCGTTTCAGAATTTGAGAAATATGTTTTAAAACGAAGACTGTTGTCAAGATATAGGCCAAAGTTTTTTGTAACTCCTCTCAAGGGAAGTTCTGTTCCATCTATCATAATATTTATGGGGCCAGAACAACGATTTCTCGCCGCTGTTCTACCAAAGATCATGACATCAGATTTAGATGCAGATAGGCAATATCTAGTTGACAAAGATAATAACATATCGTAATCGGTATCAATTTGCCATAGGGCATCATTAACTGAATTCCATAACATAACAATGCATGGTTGCAAATTGCAGTGACCTATGAAATTGATATGCGTATAAAACGAACAAGAGGGGGCCCAATATTGAACCTTGAGAAACTCCGTTTTTAATTTGTATTAAATCAGAATTCTTGTTATTATACACAACTCTTTGAAAACGATTGCAAAGGTAACTTTTTAGTGGTGCTACAGTATGTATTGAAAACCCTGAGTAGCCCAAAATAGCAAAGAGGAGTTCATGGTGTATGCGATCGAACGCCTTAGAATAGTCCAATTATATCAGAAGGCAGTGTTTGTTATCAATAGATCTGTGCACATCATCTACAACTTTCAGAAGGGCAGTCGTACTACTGTGATCAGGTTTGAACTCTGATTGGCACTCAGATAATATATCGAAGTCATTTAGACAATCACGCATCTGCCGGAGATCGCCTAAACTTTCGGGGTTAAAATTTTTTTGGCCAAAGGCGGAACATTTGCTCGCTTCCAGATGGATGGATAGGAATAAGTCGATATGCAGTGATTAAATAAGTGAGTGATATGTGGAAGGATTGTGGAACAGCAGTACAGCAACATTTTAATGCTCATATCATTAGCTCCTACAGCATTCGACTTCATGTTCAGAATGAACTTATAGATGTCATCGTCATCAGTAGCTTTATAGGAGAAGTTTTCCAGGAAAAGGTTTTGTTGATGATCCAGGCTGATGTGGTGGCCTTATGTCACATCTGTATTACTCACAATGCATGAACAAAATTAACTTCAGATATGTATCCCATTTATCATTTCATGATTATTATGAAAATCGCTTGGTGAACGATCATGAATAGAAATGCGTGACATTTTTGGGCATTTTTATATATTTTGATGATGCTTGTCATTTGGAATATATTGGCAACAATATCGAATCAATTATTTTCACCATTATCAAGATACGTGGTTTGTGTTTGTCGGAAGCTATTGTGACGTCACGAGATATGTAGGGATATCGGCACAGCGTTTGAACCACATCTGAACTATTATAAAGTGAAGCATTAAGTGATTTGATTTGAAGAATGAGAAATGGAAGTGAAGCGATCCCTCTGGGTGTATTTGTATGTTTAGGTAATACATAAAGTTTTTTTCACCCTATTCATCAATAGCGCATGTTCCGTGAGAAATATATCCAATTAACGAAGTAATTCATTGGGAAATTTCATTACTTTGGTATATATGTGATTTACATTTTGATTCTCTCAACAAAAACAAGCTCATTCATCGAACTGCTTTGTTTTCATGGCTATTTGCAAGGGTTTGTTAACTCCTATGATTTTTGTTAAGTACATATATCGAGACAAACTAAAACGAAGTTTCCAAAACTTAAATTTTCTGTATGCTACAATTGCTTGTTTATTATATTTTTGTTTATAGTGAGTATTGTCCAAAATATTTTTCGCCAATTTGATTCTTGTCACTGAATTATATTGGAAAATATTTGCTGGTTGATGGATTGAATGGCCAGCAAAAACGCCAGATCCAACCTCACTGAATTATTTTTTTCCTTTGACGTTTATGCCAATTGAAAATATTGAGGAGTTGAATGTCATGATTAGTCAAGAAATACGTTCATAACTTGCTGAAAATTATAATTAACGTATGTAACAGCAATTTATCCTGATATTTGATATGGCGGTTTACAAAACATCAATTGTTTCATTGAAGAGGTTAATGTATAGTGAATTCTGAGTGAAAATATCACCAAACAGTGTTGTTCGATACGTAATTTAGTGAACCTAATTAAAAAATTGACATACATTTTTTTGTACAACTTGTAGAAACTGATTTTAGTTATTTTAGTATCCAATATACAGTAAACGATTTTGGCATATTGAATATGAAACATCTATCAACTGAATCTCAAAGGGCACTTTTCGATTGGAATTTTTCACTTATTCTTTGCTCCAATCAAATTCAGTGAAATAGTTTTTTACCAATGGTATCAGTGGGCCATTTGATTGCTTCATAGAAAACTCTTAAAACTCTCTAAATTAGTACAGAAATGTTCAAATAATGATGAAGATCAGTGGTAAGTTCATTGCAATCCAGTACCATTATCATGTTTCAAAACTTCAACTGCCGTTTCAGCAGCAGTATCCAGATATGGTCCATTCTCACAGAATTCACGTTAATAGTTTTCCAAATAGTTTTTGTATGAGAAACCCAACTACAGACATTTTTTCAATTGATGCAACTGACAAAATGCATAAACATTGGACTCCCGCTTCAATGAACACACTCAGAACATCTAATGAAACTGTGAGTGAAGTAATTAAAACAAATTTTAAAAGCCACTTTTTTCCGTTTATTCTCTTCCGTTTTTCTTGTATAAATACACTATTTACAAACTCCACAAATTGCATGACATTCAAAATCACCAAATGTTATGTGCTACTACTGGACCATGAGCAGCGTATCCATGAGCAAGAGCTGGGGCAGCATATCCGTGAGCAAGAGCTGGAGCAGCATATCCATGAGCAAGAGCTGGAGCCGCATATCCATGAGCAATAGCTTGGGTGTGAGAAACTGACTCATGGACAAGAGATGGCGCAGCATAGGCGTGAGCAACTGGAGCAGCGTAGGCGAGAGGGGCAGCTACTTTAGCTACAACTGGAGCTACGGCTTTCAAAGCAACGGCGGCCGGCTCTTTGTGAACAACAGCATTGAAACCGTTGTAGGCATCAGCAGAGTAGTCTACAGTACGCTTGGTACCATCGGCTTCGATGAGGGAGTAGCTGCCTTGGACAACATCACCACGGCGGGATTCGTGTTGGCTCTTGCTATCTCCGGTGTGGGGGTCATTTACTCCGTACCCGAAATCGTAGTTAGCTGGGGCAGACGGTTCGACAATGATGGTCTTGGCGATTGGAGCAGCATAAGTTTGGACAGCTGGGGCAGCGTATGCGTGCACTGCTGGGGCAGCATATGCCTGGATGGCTGGAGCATGTTGTTGGATGCTGGAGTAACTGGAGACGGAGTTGTGGGCACCAATAGCCAGAGCTGGGGTGGCGTAGCCAATAGCACTGGCTTGAGCAGCAGCTACGAAGGCAGCGAATACGATGAACTGGAATTATAAAAGTTCTATCAATCTAGCTCAAGATATATCGCAAACTGTCCAGTTTGCAAGTCTTTAATCTATCGATCAAAATTATGAATAGCTTTGCATTGCAGTTCAACTCAATAATGATTGAATATTTTCAAAAATTTTGACCAGAGAGAGTTTGTGTTGTTGTGATTTGGAACAAAACAATTGGGTCTACGTACTTCACTTTTAATTTATTTTACGGTTGATTTCATCACTTATTCATTTGCCAGTATTCAACATTCATCATTAGCAAAAACAGAACTCCTGGAGATGCTGACGATTCGAATGAGCGAAATGCAGGGAATCATCAACGATAAGTCGTAATTCTCAAAACCAATACAATGAATTATGAGACGCCAAATATGAGCAAAGTCACGCTAAATCGAGTGACTTGCGTCACCTAATCACATTAGAACTTTATGAACTCAATCTCACGAATTAATATAATTATGTATAATTGGCAGTCTTTGAAAAAAATTGAAAACAATACTCTTTTTGCGAATCTACTAACGTTAATAAACGAACCCTCAATAATAATTATTGTAACCTGTGAGAGATGTGCTAATGTGACTATATGCTAACGTGACGAAGCGAGGCGAATGTGTTCTCCAGACATTTCCAATGAATTATTTCCCTACATTACTATCAATTGAATTTTCTCGAATGTGATTATTTCGTAAATTGCTTTGAAGCATTACGAGTATATTGTTAAATGTGTAATATTGGGTTGACAATTGCTACTATACCTAATTACCAATGTATTTAGGTTTTGATTTGCAATACTTACTTTGAATGCCATGGTTTTTGCTCGATATTCAGCTGAATGATGAATTCCTAATGAGTTTCGATTTATTTATATTATTTCATATGAACTTGGCCCCACCCCGGAAAAAATGGATCCTTTCACCGTATGTAGACAAAAAACAAACGAAATTTTGTGTGCAAGGTTTCTGAAGAAAGATAATAGGTACCGGCTTTTTTATTCCGAAGCGGATAACCGGTACCTATAGTTGGAGTTCATCACTGATAATTTCCAAGTGAGGTTTGAATTATCTTATTGTGAAACTAAATTTTTCAAGCAGAGAATTCAGTAACCTATTAAGAGAATCATATTGATTTTTGAAGAATCTTCGAAAACTTTACTGCTTGATCAACGAAAGAACACATTATTATTATTGAATATCTGTCAATTACACAATCGGTAACATAAATTAATAATGATAATGTATTGAAATTCATCATGAGATATCTGATTGATATAAAAATATCACAGAAAACTAGGATACAAAAGCATTGCATGTATGATTCACTGGCACTGTTTTGATCTATCACAGTCCTCAGTAATGGTACTCGAAAAGATCACGAATACAAAGGGTGAATGAGTTCGAGAAAGGTTTCATGTTTTTTTTGTTCTGAATCCCTCAGAAGTTTCAATTACACATCAGCAAAGTTGGAATATCTAACTCTTTTGCATATGAAAGAAATTCTTATGGGTTTGTCAGTACGGACTTCCATTGTCTGATATTATATAAAGTGATTTGAAATCCCTGAAGGAACTAATAAAAAAAAATCAAAAATGAATAGCTGAAAATAATAATGGTCAAAGACGAAACGGACTGCTTTGAGTTTGACGATAGTCGTGTCACGAAGTGTTCTGGCGATGTATTGAATCTATTGGAGCCTCTGGAGATACCCAACATTTTGTTTTATGAGAGAGGATATTGGCAGATTTTCAAATGATGTGGCGCTGTAGATTTTTCCGGGTTTTCGTGCAGCTGAAAAAGCAAATGCGCCACTGGAATCAATGAAGTCGCCCCGGAGTGTCAATTAATTTTATAATTTCATTAGATTACATTACAAACTTTATTGTATTAAGCTAAAAACCTGAAATGAAATAAAAGTGAAATAAAATACAAGTAAAAATAAAACAATGAAATGAAAATAATAGGTTAAGAGATTCCAAGCCAAGTTACTTCACGACGTTTCGATTGTTAGTATCCACAATCGTCTTCGGGTGATGTCTGGACTAATTTCTCTGAGAAATGACAATTTTTGGATAATTCGAGTACTGTCACTTTCTCCGCTTTCCTTTTTCCGCTTCAATGGTTCAGTGGGGGATGACCGTTTGGCGGGAGTTGGCCATTTTCCGCTTGATGAAGGGTTTCCATATGTTGCGTATTTCTACGCCATCGTGGCTGATACATTGTTGGACAACATGTATGCGGCTTCTTTGAATTTTCTCTTAACAAATGTTGCTCCCTATCTATGATCTCAGCTTGGGACCACTCGATGTTATGTTGATGGGTTCAAACATGTTCTGCTATTCCCGATTTGCTGGTTTCCCCTCGTTGTGTGTGTTTCTTATGCTCGGCAATACGAACATTCAACGGCCTCTTAGTTTCACCGATATAGGGTTTTCCGCACTCACAGGGAATCTGGTAGGTAAATACAATTCTTGGAATCACAGTCCGCGTTTGGTGGCCTGGTTTTCGTGAGGCTGCTACGGATAGTGTTACCGGATCTGAAGCAGGTTCTGATGTTGTACTTGGACCCAATTCTTCTCATCTTTTCAAATAATCCTTTAATGTAGGGTAGTGCAAGTACTGGTTACCATAGCTTTGGAGTAGCCATTCCGTTGAAGATCATTTGTGATTATGTCTAATTCCTTCTCTGGACCTTCCTTCGTATTACAGAGCCCGAAAGCACGGTCTATTAGAGTCTTAATGAATCCTGTTTTAGTCGATTGGTGATGGTTGGATTCGTGGTTCAGATACTGTCCCTGAGTTTTCGGTATACAGATGTTTTCCACTTAGCTGTGAACTTCCTTCTCCAATGTGGAAGGAAGGTGTCTAGTTCAGTATTTCCATGGTTCCATATTATGAAGGTGTAGTTAACGTATCTCAACCAGACACGAGGTTTCTCGTGGGCTTCATCAATGGCCAGAGGTTCAAACCACTCCATATACATGTTGACTATGACTGGTGAAAGTGGGCAGTCCCTCATCTTGTGTAAAGAATTCGTCGGAAATAATAGTTTCGGAGATAGGACCCTAGGTAATTACATAATTACTTCTATAGGTAAATTTGTTCTATATTCCAGGACCCATCTTCGGCTAGCTTCCTCTGTATGTCTTGGAGTGATTCTTCGAGCGGAACGTTGGTGTAAAGGCTCCCCACGTCGAAACAGATCAGTTGATCTTTTTGTGTGACTTCAATCATCCACAGTAGTTCAATAAAATACCCTTCACAAAAGGCAATGTTTTTTCTTGTAATGATTGTATTATGGGAATTGAAAATAAATCTATACAAGTTTTGTGTAGCCGAATCTCTGGAACTGATGATCGGTCTGAACGGAACGCCAATCTTGTGGATTTTGGGTAGTCCATACAAGTGAGGGGGCTTACTGTGGTGCGGTGTTAGTAATGATCTCTCCTTTTCCGGAAGATTGACTTGGTGTTTTTTCAAAATCTGGTACAACTTCCCTTCAACTGATGCAGGGGGTCCAGTACGGTCTTCGTGTATTGTCCTTTCTGAAGAACCTCTTCGATCTTCTGTTCGTAGAGAACAGTATCCATCACCACAGTAGCGTTTCCTTTATTTGCAAGTATGATCTTGCAGATAAAGGAAATGTAGGAACGGCCTCTACGTAGGCCGTTCAGAGCTCTACGTTCTTCATTGCTGATTGGATGTTGGATTGGTTTGTTCATGATGTTGAAGTTCATACGACACATTTCGAACGAAGTTTAATTTCCGTAAACTGAAGAAATGTTGAATAGAGGTGTAAATATCTACAAAATTTGAAAAACACACGCCAAAATATAACCACTTTTCTAGCTTTTCGACATTCCAATACGTCAATAACCGCATGAGAGCTGACACCCACTTCTTCCTCCATCCTACGCACCGTTTTTAAGGGATACGACCACACCAGGGTCCTCAAATTCTCGTCCTGGATTACTGTAGGTCGACCACTTCGGGGCTCAGCTTTGAGGTCAAAATCTCCGGAACGAAATTTCACAAACCAACGTCGAACAGTGCGTTCAATAACACTATCATTGCCAAATTCCTGGTCTGTTTCGGCAGCGCTTTGATTTGATTTGTATTCGTAGAGAAAAATTGGCCAAAAATTGCTCAACGACATCATATCGGGTGGTCCAACGAAAAGTATGCACCTTGCTTTTCTCCTTTTTTTGTAACTCAACGCAAAAATGCTCGGACAGGTCAATTTTGCTTTTGAGGGGGACACATTTTAGATGTATTTTTCTACCTGTGCCTTCAACCCCCTAGCGAGGGTGAGTAACAACCATAACATTTTAAATGGAAAGTGGTGTCGAGTGATATATCATTTAAAAAGACACAAAATTATTTTTCCAATGATACCTAATTTGTTGTATTTACTTGAATAGTTATAAAAAAAGCAAGAATATTTACTCGATATTTTTGGTGTTAATGAAAATGCGGAA